ATAGCAGCTGATATGGTTTAAAATGCAGACATTCATGCAGATAAGTATTTTATTTGCCATAATTGTTTTTTTAACTGTTAGAGATGTTATTCTATGATTTTAATTTTTTCCTCTCATGTACATTGCATTTCATAGTTGGCAAGTTCGCTACCTTTGTTCTCTACCTTGCCTTAATTAAATAAATCAGTTAGCTTTAGTATTATACAATATAAAAGTGCATGATTTATTTAATTTCCGACTGTTGATATATTTGAATATTCTTTTACTTTTTGAAAACCCAATGACACATCAGCACGAACACGTGCTTGGTTTCTCCTAAACAGATAAAGTGATTCAACATTGATATCTATATATTTGGTTTATATTTCCATATATTACGAATTTCAATTACAGCAGTACATTATGGAAGCACTGGAGGGCCCTTTTGACTTCTGACTTAATGACTTTTCACTATTGACTTTTGAGTTATGACTTGTGACTTCTAAGTTGTGACTTGTAATTTGTGATGATGCATTGCCGCTCATTTTAAGCCAGGAGATGCAACATGGCGGACAGCGATTTGTCAGATGATGTAAGTTTTTATAGTTTGCTTGAATATTCTTCTTAAATAATGTAATTTAGCGATGTTATACATATCCATCACTAATCGGGCAATACAATTTGGACGGTCTGTGTATTCTTGTTCACTGAGATCTAGATGCGTTTACCATAAGAAATTTACACTCTCCCTCAGTGTGAGAAAAGTGACTCCTTTCAAGCCTCGAGTCTAACTTCCATCAATCAAACGATCTATACTTAATGAAACTTATAAGTACTATAAGATTTAAACTTGCAGATAAGTTCGAGTTTTCAAAATATATGCCAAATCAGTTATTGACTTCTTGTTAAGATTGAATTATTACAAAATGCATTTACTGATATAAAATGATGATACTATGATAAGTGTTTATACAAGAATCGTTGTAATGTTCTATACAAGTATATATATACATAATTATTCTGACCACTATATATACATGTACATAGAAAAGGTTGTCGGAATGATCGATTTCGTTTAGTGTATTAATACCATTCACAAAACTAAAAAAACAAAGAAAGACTCTTCTTTAAATGGCTGATTATGCATAAAATACAATTACACACCAATTTTATTCATCAAGGTTATTTATCTGGTCCTCTCCATGTATATGAGAATTAGATTTATCACTGGATTCGGGTTGGTCAAACACATTCGACGTTCCCATATTTATAGTTTGCTGTACATTATGGGAACAAAATGCCTCCTCAGATGAAAAAAAACGGCATATTATATTTGAAAGCCAGAACTAGACCCAGAAATCAAAATAATAAAAAAACTTTGCTATCAGTAATACTGTACAGAATACCGTTAGGGCCATCGTGGTTTTAAACGTTATAATCCAGAGGGCGACAATGTGATAGTGCGACAACGCGATGGCGATAGTACGAGAGTACAGTGACGATAGTACGATAGTGCGATGATGACAACGCGACAATGCAATGACGACAATGCGATGACGACAGTATGACAATGCGACAGTGCGATAATGCGATGGCGACAATGTGATAGTACGATGACAATAATGTGATAGTCTATAGCATTGTCGTCCTCGTGTTATCGCGTTGTCGTCATCGTACTATCACCATCGCGTTGTCGCCCTCTGGAATATAACGTACAACCACGATGGCCCTAACGGTATTCCGTAATACTGTGCTTTTCGCTTCATAGATTCATTGAATTTAAGCTTAATTGAAAGAAGAATTAACTTTGATAAAGTTAGTCCTTCTAAACTAAAGTGATTCAGTTTTTAATTGTGCTTAGGCCAAATAAAAAAATATGTTGGTTTGTAGTGCCCGCTACCTTCCCATCTTCAATTCTTTTTGGTCATCGACTTGATTTTGTTTTATTTACCGATATGTATCCTGTTCTCCCATAATTACCTCCCCTTAATAACAATATGCCATTTGTAATAAAGATTAGTAACGGAATATATTTGCTATGTTTTATTAAAACAACTAAACCATGTGTAATCTGATTATCTCATGACAGTATACTTTGTGTCGTTAATGGTTAGTATTAGAAAATTGTAATTCTGAAACTTCAATTAATTGAGAATGTTTGAATAAAGTACACAAAATCACAAAATACTATCTCTTGTGCAACAGTGATTAAATAATATTATTAAAACACCAGGTAAGCAATGTTGATAAAATGAAGCACAAAATGAAGCACTTTTCGAAATTTTATCTTTTTTGTAATTTACAGGACATACATAGGAAACAACGTATAAAGGAAGTCATAGACAACATTAAAAATAGAAAGGCAAAGAAGGAAAAACAGCCCCCAACTACTAGTTCGCTGCTCCAAGAAATGGAACAAAAAAGTTCTTTTTTAAATCAATATTATAATAAATACTGATTTTTTTCTACTTCAATTGTTTATTGTTAAATAAAAGTTCTTTTTTAAATCAATATTATAATAAATACTAACATTTTTAAAAAGAAATTGTCATGTTGTGCTTTTAGAACACAATTGTGTTAATCGTCCTTGATTTTACATCCTGTAATTTACATTTATAGCTCGACTATTCGAAGAATAAGGAGAGCTTTCACCTCATCCGGGCGTCGGCGTTAGTTTAATGTTCTGTCCAATTTTTCATACCACATCGATTATGTTCCAAGTCCCTTAACCCTTTACCTCATATATACGCGAAACAACGCACTTTCGACCCCCCTTTTTTTAGGCCTGAAATATGGAAAAAAAAAAGTTCTTTTGGGCCCCAAAACATGTTTTTTTTGGAAAAGTTGCTTAAAAAGTGAGCATTTAAGCGCCCCCCCCCAAAGATACAAGGGGGGTTGCAAAAGGGGTTGCCCCCTTTTTGGGGGTTAAGGGGGGGGAGCCCCCCCATGCCAAAAAAATTTTGATTGGAGAGGTTAAAAAACCCGGTGACTAAGAACGTGTAACCAAAGCTGAAAGCCCCTTTTCTCTACTCAATCCCTTAAATTGCAGCATTTGAAAAAATTTTTGGAAAAAATGAGGAAATAGTGATTTTTGGATTTTTAGATGTCCCCGTTGCCCTGGGACGAAAATTTAAACGGCAGTGTTTCAAAGCTGGGCCATTCAACATTTTTTTCCAGTTTATTAGTATTGAAAACTTTTTATAGTTCATGCTTTAAGTAAGGGAGGTTTTAGGAAAAAGCATTTTACAAAATGCCATGGGAAAAATTTTGATTTTCTTTGAAATTTGAGATTGTTAAACCCCCTCCCAACCCCAATGGGTAGATAATCTTTTAAACATTTTGTTAAAATTTTCTCCCTTTTCGACTAAAATGGGTTTTTATTTTTTCTCCCAAAAAAAAAAATCGAGTGTGCCCATCCCTTATTTATTTTTTTATTCCGTAGCTTAATAGAACTTTTCTGAGAAAATATTGTTTCATTAAGGAAAAAATTTAAAAAAAAGAAATGGTCCCTTCCCATGCTGGTTTTTGTTTTCCAAGCTTGCTAGTCATCTAAAAATTTTTAGATAAATAACTGGTGGAAAAAAAAAAATTGTTTTTGCTCCTTGCCTAAAGGGGGCTTTTTAATAGGCTAAAAAAGTCAATTTTTTTTCTTTTTAGGGGTTTTGCAAACGTTTGGGCTTAAAATTAAAAAAGGGGAAACATGTTTTGCACCAAGCCTCGAATTATATTTTTGGTTGCATTTTATGATACACGTACAGCTTCATGGCGGTTGAATATCTGTTCCTTTGCCAATCCCCAAACCATATATTAATTCCATGCATTTGTAATAGAGGTCGATACGTAAAAAGTCAAGACCACAAGTGTTTGAAGTCACTACTCACAAGTAGGAAGTCAAAAGTAGGAAGTCACAAGTAAGAAGTCACAAGTCACAAATAGGAAGTCTCTAGTCAGAAATACGAAGTCACAAGTCAGACCATTGTGCACGAAGTGTCATTGCTATATCGTTTAAAACGTCCTTAGCTTTACAAATGCGTCATCCTGGAAATTCTTGAAGCTGACCTTACCACGGATAACTACCTATTCGCCCTAATAAGAGCAAATGCTTCTATAAGCGCCCATCCCTTCTTTTCCATTTGTAAGTGGTTAAGCGCCCAGGATAAATTGTCTTAAAAGAAAAAAAAATCAACTGACCACAATCGACATTTTAATTTTTTATGCATGTCCTCGGGCCTAGAAAATTTCACTGTACAAGGAAAGAGTGTGAATATTCACATTTCAAACCCATTGTAGTGATTTGTCAGTAAACGGACCTGACTCCTAAAAAGCGCCCACCTTTCACAATTTTCTAAGCGCCCTGGGCGATTACTAGGAAGAATACGGTAGTACTGGCTAGATATTCTGTGCAAGTTTCGTACTCGGGCGTTTGGTCTACAAAGATGAACGTCAGGCAGTGAATTTATTTTAATAGCCAGATTCTAATTAACTGAAAGTAATATTAAGTATATAGGCCCTAGTAAGTCTGCACACCTGCACAGACTAATTCGGTCTACACTTGTCACAGGTCCGTAGTTTTTCTTGACTGAAACGTTAACGGTTACAAACAGACCTTTGTGAGCCATGATGTATTGGAACGTAGAAATAACATTTGACTTTCGTGACATATTCGTTTGTTATAATTGACTGTCAAACATAAGAATAAACATATGCCACTTACGTTATGAACTATATAATATATTATACCATAGTTTACAACATCATCACGATCATCATCCTTAATAAAGTTATCATCATCGTCATGATTATAATCATTATCATCGAAATCAACTTCTGCTTATCATCAACAACATAATTATTTAAATTATAAAGTCGACCTTCATCATGAGGAGCAGCATATCATGACAATCATCAGTGCAGTCAACATACTTATAATGATAATCATGATGATGTAGATGATGATGATAATGATGGATCGTGTTGATCATTTGTTCTCTCACAAAACAACTTTATGGCTTAAAAAGACTTCAGTCTTCATACGAGTTTGCCACTAAATCATTCAACTCCAGGAACAAATTCAATGCTGAATCGGCATCTACTGGCATTTGGAGGTCGGGCTTTAACAATAATAATAATAATAATAATAATAAAGACTTTATTTAACGAGAGAACTCATTTGAACAAACATATCAATCTTCCATGAGGCCCTCAACAAGGAACAATATAAATTTAACATTTTCAAACTATTAAAATACATAAATGTAAAAACATACAGGAGATTATCAATTTGTATACATCAATGCGTGATAAAACCTCAAGTATAAGGTTTTAAAATGGTTAACAGATGTAGCAGACTTAATATAACCAGGAAGGCCGTTCCAAATCTACAAGATCCAGAATAAACAAAAAGACTTACGAAATTGTTCAGTATTTGGTCTAGGGTATAAGTTGAAAATCAGATGATGAACGCAAAATGCGAGTATGAACATCTGACGATAAAATGAAATTATTCAATAAATAGGAAGGCGCCTGATTATTTATTATTTTAAACATCATAATAGCTTTTGAAAAACAACCCTCTGTGAAAAGGTCATCCAGCGGAGTTCAGAAAAAAGTTCAGCAGATGGAGTGTCATAATCTTTGTCTAGAATTAGTCTTGCAGCTCTCTTTTGAACTTAATGAGTTTATTCTTCTAGAAAAGACGTACAGTTACCATAAATTATGCAACAATAATCAAGATGTGGTAAAATATATGCATTGTAAAACATTTTACGTACAGGTATAGATATAAATAATTTTATACGTGATAATAAATGTAAAAATGAGTTACACTTTTTAAGAACATTATCAATATGGCTTTGCCAAGACAAGGTGTTATTAATTGTAATACCCAATAATTTTTCTTCAGAGCTATAAAAAATTTGCTCTGTTTTATATAAAATACAAGGGTTACTTTCATGAATATAATTTTGCTTGTGTTTTGAGGAAATATACATGACCTTAGTTTTGTTAACATTGATAGACATGCGATTCAAATCACACCATTTGTTGGCATTTAAAAGATCATGAGTAAGAGATTCAACTACTCTGTTTAGGGATACATCAGAGGTTGAAAGGGTGGTGTCATCAGCAAAAATATCAGTTTCTGTTTTTTCCATAGACAAAGGCAGGTCATTGATATATATTAAAAACAGTATAGGACCTAGCACTGAGCCCTGAGGAACTCCAGTAGTAACTGAACTTGAATATAAACCGGATATGTAAGTTTGTTGGGTTCTGCAATCTAAATAGGAGGAAAACCAAGCAACTGATGAAGGGTCTAGGTTATACATTCTAAGCTTTTCAATAATAATAGAGTGATCCACATAGTCAAAAGCTTTAGAGAGATCAAGGAAAATTGAACCAACTATTTCATTTTTGTCAATAGCTGTAATCCAATCATCAATAATTCTAATCAATGCTGTTTGACATGAATGATTTGACCTGAATCCAGACTGACGTTGGTATAGAAGTTGATTTTTCTCAAGGTATTTCTTTAAATGTGAACTGACATGACGTTCAAGAATAAGTGATATCAAGGGAAGTATGGAAATTGGCCTATAATTTCTTTTATCACTTTTAGAACCCTTTTTTATGTATAGGAATGACTTTTGCATTTTTGAATGATTTAGGAAATGTATTGTTAAGAATATTGTTATTAATTATAGTGGTAAGTATGGGAGCAATAATATGAGCCGATAATTTTAGAAACCTTGCACTGAGACCATCTGACCCACATGACTTTGTAATTTCAATCGATTTTAATTGGTTCAACACATAAGAGAGCTCTATTTTAGGTATTTTGAAAGGGGGTATATGCTGAAGTTTAGATGCATTTAGTTCAACAAGCTCAGGATTTTCATAAGCAGTCTGATTAATGGTATGATGGGATTGGTGGAGATTCACAAATTGTCTGTTGAATAAATTTGCAGTGATTAAAGGGTCAGAAAACCGGGTTGCCATCATCATCATCAATAAAATGTGTTTGAACCTTGGATTTGTAACCAGATAATTCATTTAGACCAGTCCATAATTTCTTTGGGTTGTGTTTGTTTTTATTGATGGTATCATTATAATATTGTCGCTTAGAATCATATATATGAGAGACTTAACGTGTTGTTTCCATATGTTGTAATTATATGTGTCATTAACCCTATGAAACTGGTGTTTTGGTTTAATAGCATTGAGGATGTTTTTATTAATCCAGTTTGGTTGGGTGACCTTCTTTACTCGTTTTTTTTTCTGGTTGGTGCATGTTTTTCAAGGACAGACAAAAATTTATCAGTGAACAAATCTATAGAGTTATCTTGATTTTCTACAGATGCTACTTCTGACCAGGGTTGCTCTGACAATTCGGTTAAAAATCGATTTTCATCAAAGTGTTTAAGAGACCGGAAGGTTATTGTCTTATGCATGGGACCTTTAACACTGATATTTGAAAGTTTGCGTGTAAAACAAATTGGAAAATGGTCACTAATGGATAAGGAAGGTACAAAAACGTCGACTATATTTTGAGGCATGTTTGAAAATGCATGATCTATCAATGTAGCAGAGCTTGAAGTTACTCTGGTAGGAGATTCAACAAGCTGAGAAAAATTTACAGACTGCATTAGATCTAACCAAGATTTAGAACAATTATCATGCTTCAAAATATCATAGTTAAAATCTCCAATAACAATACATTCTTTTTCCTCTAAATATGATTTTTCTAGGGATATAGCAAAATTATTAAGCCACTCAACTTTAGAAGATGGTGGTCTGTATGCATAACACAATAATAATGATTTACATTTAGGCTGTTTAAGTTCTAGCCAAATGGATTCAATAGAAATACTTTCTAAATCAGATCTATGTACAAAAGATAAACAGTCTCTAACATAAATAATTAAACCGCCTCCATTGGAAGGCCTGTCCTTGCGAAAAAGTGTAAAATTGTCCAACTGTAGTTCATTGTCTAGAAAATTTACATTTATAAAAGTTTCACATAAACAGAGTATATCAATCTTTTGTTCTGAAATTATAATTTTAAGTTCGTCTAATTTTGGGTACAAATAGTGAATGTTAAGATGTAGTATGTTCAACCCTTTATGCGTGTACCAAGAGTTACTATTCTTATTGGAGTCATACTCATAGTTTAAAGTATTGTCATTTACAATTTCATAAGTCAAATTAAAATTGGTTTCTCCATATTGAAATGCATAACAGATAAGCCAATTCGCTGAATTTGTCAAACTTTCTCTTTGGAACTGAATACATGTCTTTACAACAGGTCACATCACGTTTGTCAACCACCGTACCATAATCAAACGCGCCAAACGTTTCAGGTAAAAAATACATTATGTCAGGTTTTCCGTAATGTGCGTCGGAATTGTGCTGAGGTCTAATTTCATGTACATTCCACTGTTGAGCAATTCTATCCAGGTGTGTTTGTGTTAGGTTCATAAAACAAAATTTCAAATTTTCACAATGTATCTGGTCGAGTTCATTGAAACGACCAGAATCGCGCAAATCTTTAAAAAAGTTAATCCACCACTGTATTCCTTGTTGACGTAGCGTACCCCACCATCTTTCAATGCGCTGGTTAGAAGTGCTTCTTCCAACAATAACGCTGCGACTACCAGCAAAGTGGTCCGTTGCTTCATTCCGAAAGAACTGCTGTAGAAGACAAACAACACTGTTTTCTGTTCCAGCATCGCAACGAAGTATGCGAGGTGTTTTTTTAATGCGCTTCAATGCATCCAAATAATATATCGCAATCAGTTTTGGATCGTTGTTAGTGTCAGAAACTTCTAACCAGATAACTTTCCTGCTAAAACCATCTACCGCTCCGTGTATACAAAATCCGAATGGTTTAAACTTATCATAACCATCTAAATGCCAAATATTGTTTGGCCCTTTTGCACAATAGAAACGTCTTTTAAGTCGATGTGCTTTTCTCATTCCGGAAAGCCGGTAACTCGAAACTCAGCTGATAAGAAAAGTCTGTCGTCTGCTACTTAGGAAACACCATTTGGATCTATTGCCTTCATTATGTCCATAACATCTTTATGGCTTACATCCATATTATGATTCACTTTCAGCCGGCGCCATATCGTCCGATAACCGACAGACTGTCCACTATAATGCATTTCCGTGCCAATTACACGAACAACGTTTTTCAACTGCGATTGCAAATGTACACCTCGACGTTTCAGGTTCAACTTCTTCAAGATTCTTTTCAGCTGACGCAGTGACAACAAAATACCATGCTTAAGTAGCAAAAATCCAAGAATTTCACTGTATTTGAAACCTTGTTTGAAATATTCTTCAATGAGTGGTGCTTTATCAACATTCGGAGACGACAAAAGCAGGTAAGCTGGCACCACACCAGCTGTTATCTTCAACAGAGTGCACAGAAAACAACACGTAAAAACACGAATTTCATATTTTGGCACAACACAGCCATCTTCGCTCATTACTCACGTGCTCTCTTAAAGTGTGGTTTAATTAATTAATTTCACAACTAAGAAGTAATAAGTCTTGAATTAAAAGTCAAAACTCCCAAGTCAAAAGTCATAACTCCCAAGTCAAAAGTCATTAAGTCAGAAGTTAAAAGGGCCCTCCAGTGCTTCCATAGTATATGCCCTATCTGTAGCAGAATTCTGTTGTTATTCATTGAATGAATTTAGTTGGTTTTTTTTTCTCCGCATAATATTAACTTAAATGATTTTGCGTACATTTTATTTCTTATACCAATTCTTGTGTGGTGTCAATTATCATCCACTTTTCAGTAGGTGGTTAAAACAAGATAAAATGAACAGAAATGGTAATGTACAACTTTCGTGAAAAACCCTTAGAATTATACCCTATCGAACACAGACAACTGACTTTACTTCAGGCTGGTTATATTTTT